TAAGGAGGCATGCGCATGCTGCACTCATTGATGTGGTGAACGTTGGGCCCTGTTGCAACCATACCAGTTGCAATGGGATCCAGAACCCACCACTGCTACAGAAATATGATTTATTTCACATAAGCAATCATGTAATATACCTAGTTTTAGCTTACTGCTTTCTACAAATTCAGCCATTGAATGTGTAAACCACAGTGCTTTCTTTAATAACCCATAGTTAAAAATTGGTTTAGGGTGATGTGTGAAGCCATTCTACAGATCCTCTTTGCATCGCATAAAATATATATCCACTCCTTCAGACATTGCTTTGAATATTTTTTTGACAATGCAGACAGCTGGAGATGCAAGTATTTTGGAGAATGGCATACAAATTATGGAAAACAGTGTACAGACAAGTTTCCTCTGCATATAATTTCCAGGCAGAGAAATGTAATTGCTTGAAGTTGTTGTTTTAAATTTCAAGTATTTAAAATTATAAAGGCCCTATAATCCATACATATCCAAGATTCAAGTAAGAGGCCAGTGAACTTCTAACTTCTATTTTATACGGTTCAGAAAGTTTCGGTCTCATTGTACAGCCGAGAAGAAAAAAATCCAGATTGGCAGCAAGGCAGGCACTAGGACCCAGGAGCACTCTTTTTGATGGCAGCAAAACTGGTTTGCAGAAGGAGGACACCTCTGTGTTTCAACAGGTGTTGACTAAAGCAAGCAAAAGCAGTTGGCTCAATTAAATTCAACCTGACACTTCTCCCTGGAAGAAAACAACCGGAATAGTTTGTGTTTTAATTCTTTAAGTGTAGCTTTAAAGGGGCAGGAAGATGTCAAGGAAATGTGCTCAGTAACATTCCTACAGGATATACATTGGTTCAGAAGACTGTGCTGCCAGAGCGTTGTCTCAGAGTCTGAGAGTGTGGAATCTGTGACGAGAAGGAATGGGAGAAAGAATGAAGAAACTACACGAGTTGTGCTGTCGAACTTGTCCTTTGAAGCCAAGTGGAAAGAAAACCCAAACAGACATTATGCAGGCAACAAAATCAAGACCACCCGATACACATTCCTGTCTTTTATCCCTAAAAATATTTTTGAACAGTTTCACCGCTTTGCCAACATATATTTTGTGGCCATTGTTGTTCTTAATTTTGTGCCGGTAGTCAATGTTTTTGAGCCAGGAATATCTGTGTTGCCCGTCTGTGTTATAATGGCCATCACTGCTCTTAAAGATGCTTGGGAAGACTTCCGGAGATACAAGCTGGACAAGGAGATCAATAGCATGGGCTGCCTAGTGTACAGCAGGTAAATACCTTCTGAGATGCAGTTTGGGGAGGTTTCAGAAGCAACTTTAATAAGCCTTCAAATATTATCCAATATTATTTACTACTAATGCTAATTTGTTTTAAATAATCTAGCTAAAATTAAACTAACTAAAACAAATATTTTAGTATTGTAGAAGAGAGGGAAAAAAATTCTAGTAACCCCACCCAAGTTGCTTTCTTCTGCTTTTTTTCTCTGTTTCAAACTAAACTTATGTGACATAGAGATGTAGTGTTCATTGCAAAGACAATAGCCAAGAATTAAGTTTCTAGTTTTGGCGATTTCAGTTTTCGATCCTTTCGAAATGATTTCCAATATGTTTTGTTTTGTTTTTCTGTTTTTTTCACAGCTGTCATATACATAGCGCCCCTTTTATATCACTAGTCATATTGCTAGTCAGAACCTAGAAATAGTTAGGTAAAATCAGAACAGTGAGCAAAATATGTGTACAGTTTCTGTAATACTTTGAGTAGTTCATCTCTTGGCTTTTGAAAAATGATACCCGTGCTGCTGTCGTCATTTACTGAACTGTCAAGTTTTGATAATCATGTTTCTTTTCTTACAACCATTCTAAAGGTAATATTTAACATATAATTATTGTTAGTATTTAGTTTATTATTATATTTCTGTTCCTAATTTCTTGGCCTAAAGGAGAACTATTGAGGAAACTAAAAATTTGCATGGGGACACTGGTCCAGACACCACAATCAAACCACAAACCAACCACCAGAGTTTCCTTCTCCTCCTTCCTTCATCCTTTTGGTATTACAATTCCTTCTCTCACTTCCTCCGTCACCATACTTTGTCATCTACACAAAGTAAGGCCAATGATGAGTCACACAATAGTACTTTACATAGATACCAGAATTCAAACCCATAAGAGTTTCTTATGCTGCCTTACAGACAGCAATTAAGATTCCCCCCCCCCTCAAATTTAATTGTAATCTATCTAGTTTATCTGTAAACTATGAAGAATCAAGAAGAAAAGTTGGAACTGAATTTGTGTGAGTGAACCACTGAACCATATGAGGAACAGATCACCTTTAGGTATGGATCCTGAAGTAATGATATCTAAATTAGGTCCTTTTAGTGGCACAGATCCATATTATTGTCACAATTAGTGCTCTTAGGAATAGGAAAAGAGATTTTTTTTATTATCTGTACTTTATTCCTCAGTTTCTAAAGAATGGAGAAGTGAATGCAGAATTTTGCCACATATCTCTATCATCACCTCTACACCCTGCTTTAAATTTAGATTAACACACTACATTCCACATTTTTTCCTAGGCCTCCCAGTCTCTGTAGCATGCCACAGGATTCTGTTTTTGGCTAACAGGCCAATTTCTGAATATTTTAAGTAAGGATGGGAAAGCATTTCCATGCACATTTACTATAAAGGCTTTATTTCTTTTTAAGATTATTATATCCAAACAGTGGCCTGTCGTGATGTCCAGCTATGGGTGGAACATTCTTTGTTACTATTTGTCATCCAAACAGCAAGTTGGCACCAATATGGAACTTAATTTCAGATAAAAGTCTAGGAAATGATAGTGTACAGGTGTATATTTGAATACCATACTATTAGACAAGATCTCTGCTTCCTTGCCACATAAGAGAAGAGTAAAATAAATATTTTCTTCAGTGGCAACAAATTTTGATGATTCCCCTTACTCAGATTTGCCTCAGGGCTGTGACCTAAACTCAAAATTAGAGGAAGCTGAACTAATAGATGGGAACTGCTTTCTCTAAGGAAAGTTCGAATTTTGGCTAGTTGGACAGAGGCACTTAATTTACCTTCAGATGCCACTTGGAACTTTCCATATCTCCAGATGGTAAAAGACACTTGGAATTTTCTATATTGTTGTCCTTCAACATTTCCGTGGAGATATGTGTTATGGGTGCATCAGAACATCTTAATTGCCTTGATGTATCAGAACATCTTGAATTTAGATTTTTTTTTCAATTTCAGACGACAAAAACATACATCAAGTCATTATTTTTCTTAAAAATTAATTATATTGGCTACAAGGAAAATTTGTGATAAAAAGTTGAAAGTTTGTAAAATAGATGAGATCCTTTATAATTGTTTTTAGCAGTACTCTATCAGGTCAGGTTTAAAGATATTGATAACATATTTAAACTGTGTTTCCCATAACTTACATACATGTTCACATATCAGTTTGGAATACAAGAATTTTTCACACACTTCTACAATATTATGAATTGGGATTCATAGAATGCCAGTTGGATCCATCTTACACATTATTTCTTATTTTGAAGTGTTCCTGGCAGATGCTTCTAATGAAAGTTCTTCTATAATCTTAAGATCATTTCATCATTGCTTTTATTTAAAAAAAGTTTATTTTAGTTTTGCTCCTGGGCATTCTTCCTTATAAACAAAAAACCCGAGGCCTAACATCAAGGCACCAAATGAGAAAGTATTTTATTTTATTATTTATTACATTGTTATGCTGCCCATTTTCCTCATTAAGTGACTGGTTTCTTACTATTTATATCTAACACTGTGAAGTGCTTATTTTACACAGTTTCAACTAGTTCCTAGAAAAAACTTCACAGGCTGTTGTGAGATTTCTCTTAAGAAATGTCCTAATGCCATATTCATCTTCAGCTGATCTTGAAATTTTGCTTTGCAAAAGGCTAACCAAGGCTTCATCTTAAATGGAATTGATTTGCATAATGTTATTAATAAACATGCTGCAACACTGAAATAACTCCAGGCAATGAATTAATGGAGGTACAATATTTGTCAGGGAGAGAGGCTCTTGCTTCTTCTTGCCAAAACTTCCATTTACATGCAATTCCCTTATTGGAAAAGCCAGGTGCCTCTTCAATCATTGCCTATGCCACACCTTTGGGTTCCAGTGCTTTGTATAATGTAGGTTTTGGAGAAAAGGCATTCTCCCAATAGACAATGAATGTTTGAATGTACATATTTATAGAAGATTTCTTGCACATCTTAGCACATGATCAAACTGTTCCTGAAGATATCGCAAGCACATGATCAAACTGTTCCTGAAGATATCGCACTCATTTTGAACATTGATTTTTACATAGAGAAAGGGAATGCTAGCAACACTTCACAGTGTTGTTACTGTTAGATTGGATTTAAATTGTCTTCACAAATTCCTACTGGTTGTGCTATTCAGTCATCTGGGAGGAGGAGAAAATTTAGCATTGACAGGAAATCTTTTGCCACATATCCAAAGCAAGACTGCAAGGAATATAAAGAAAATCAGGCTAGTATGATCTGCGCTTTCTGTGTACAGTTCTAAAAGATCAATTCTTGTTGAGAAAAAGAAAGGGGGAGTTGTTCATTCGGGCCTGACTGGACTTGGCCCAAATGAATTGAATCCAAAGTAGATCCAACCCTCTTTCATAAATCAAGGTTGGGAACAATCAAATTATGGATATAAAATATATGGAATCCGCTCACTCCAGTATGGGAACTACTCTATAGGCAATCACCATCTTCATTTCCTATTAAACATTTCTAGCTTTGAGACACTGTGAATTGCTTGAAAACACAAGAAGCAAAATTAAAGAAGCCAGATGGAACAAAAAATACATGCCCTAAAATAAAATAGTTATAAAATGAAAACCAGGACATAGTTATCTACACTATCTACCCCCATTTCCAAAAAAACTCAAAATAATTTGCTAGGACTTGGTGGCTTTAAAGGGAATCAGTATTATTGTTTGGTGTAGCGTAATGGTAACCACTACCAAAACAGTATGTAGAGAGTTTTATGGAAGTTTCATGTTGAAATATATACATCAAACTAAACATAATATGATTTCATTTGATCTTAATATACAATATCCTTTCTGAACTCAGCCATTCTTGCTAAACATGTGGTTTCTGGCTTCATGCATTGCGCAGTCTAGATCAATTGTGGTCTGTTCACAACTGATCCTGAGAAAGGAAGGTAGTAAAGGAAGTTGAATTCATGAGGGGCAAGGCTGCATTCCTCAATGAAGATTATAAAATCATTTTAATCTGGTCATCTTTTTAACACATACTGGGTTGTCCTGGATCGTTATTTTAACTGGGAGAAAGCTTTAGAATTACATTTTTTTTCCTAATAGAATATTAGAGAATTAGAAGCTACAGTTTCATTCTTATATGGTAGACTGTTTCTAGAAAGCAACATTGGAGACTTTTGCTCTCTATTGAAAATGTCAGGGTAACCATTTCAATGTTTAATGTAAATTGTCTCTGGTGTTTTGGTATAAAGCAAAAGCAGTTGGGTTTATCATGAGAAAAGCAAAACTTTATTAGGCTAACTGAAGTTGTACAAATTCTGAAAGTTCAAAAATTCTGCCAGCTAATATATAGATTACATTTCTCCTTTCCATCTATTTGATTGGATTGCAGGAAATGCCCAGAAAGTGTCTAAAATCAGTAAAGAATTGGAGAAATATAGTTGAAATGTAAATAAATGTTTTATTTGACCAGGGAACTAGTGCTAAATGTTTTCTCATTTGGAAGTCGATATAGAGTTTAGGGTGCTATTAGATTTAATCTTCTCTCAGAATACCAATTTGGCATCTGGACATGAAACATACTTTGTTATCTTAGATGGCTGAACTTTTTCAATCACAGAACTAGCCCAATGATAATGACTTCTGCATTGGAAAAAAAACTGTTTTAGATTACCATGGTGCACAGTAGATGGAAATTCTCTTGAAGCAGTTTGGAGATTTCGGATAGTAACTACATGGCATCCAAATTGTTTCCAACCACATGGAACCTACTTTGTCTTTAATCTCTTTGGTTATGGGCCCCCAAATACAAGTAATTTAAATTTCCAAATACAAGTAAGGGGACGCGGTGGCTCAGTGGCTAAGACACTGAGCTTGTTGATCAGAAAGGTTGGCAGTTTGGTGGTTCAAATCCCTAATGCCGCATAACAGAGTGAGTTCCCGTTACTTGTCCCAGCTTCTGCCAACCTAGCAGTTCA